GAGAGAGAGAGAGAGAAAGCAAGAAATCACCCCCACTGGGGGAATGGCCACACCACAATCCCTTCTCCTCCATTCTCCTCCTGGGATTTTGGGCACATATGTACACATGCCTGGCATGAGTGTCAATGACCAGGTCCAGGACTTGAACCATGGTTGGCCATGTGGGAGTCCAGTGCCTTAACCACTACTCTGCCTGCTGCCCCCCTGGGAATGCCTTTTTGACCATTTGTTTCTCCCCTGAATTACGCTGAGATTTAGCTCTCAGATGAAATTTGATCTATTAAGTAGTACTTAAATCAAGAAGCAAATATATGATAATGGAGAAGCAAAAGTCTAGAATGAGAATTTTTTTTTGTCCTTTTGCTAAAAGGCTAGAACTTTTAATACAGCAAAGTTTCTTCACAGATATTTTCTTTCTTCTATAAATAATTTTAAAAGGTATGTTCAGCCTGCACATCTAACAATGGTCAATTCCACATGAACATGTATCATTTTTATATCCATATCAAGGTCCAGCAATAAGATACAGTATAATTCTGAGGGTCATTTCTTTTGCCATTTTAGTCAGTGATGAGCTGATGGAGAAAATTAAAGTGTTCATTTATTTTATACTTCTAACCTATACAACTTATGTTCATTCCCTAGAGAAAGATAGAAAATCTCTAAAAGTGATAGTGGTTAATGCTTCCAAGAAAGGCATATTGAGAGGTCAGCTCACAAGCAAGCATTTTAATAGAGAGGGTCTGACATAAAATTTCAGAACCTCCTCCTGTCTCAGTTTAATAGTCATAAAGTATGTAAGTAGTATACTTAGTCCAAGAGGTTTACACCTACTCTAATCTGCAGGTGCAACTTGGGAAGGACTTCAAAGACAAGCAGAATTAGTTTTAAAAATTCTGTGTTCTCTACCATTTTGATCAGCAACCCTCAACAATTCTTATCCAAGAAGCAGGGTTACCTCTAAGGAAATCAGATTCCCTTTTTCTTTTCGAAGGAGATTAACAATCAGAGTGTTGGAGTAGCAGGTTAAAGTGGAGAGGCCATTGGTAATCATTAAGACGGAGTCTCATTCTTAGTTAATTTATCAAACAATACATATGTTTTGACTAATAATTTTGCTATAGCATTTGATGGAAAGATTTTATGGTGGGGAGTGTTCTCTAATGAATTTCAAAGAAAAAAAATAGATTTCTATTCTATTTTTTACTGCCAAATCAACTTTCAGTTCATAATGCAAGAGAGATTGCAGGAACAGAAGAACTGCTGACTTCATTTAACAGAGAGCCAGAGTACATGAGGCAACTTGAAAAAGTGCATAGAGTAGCCAGTGGGTGGCAGGGTGGATAAGGCTCTGGACTTCACATGGTTGACCACAGCTAAAGTCCTGGGCCTGATGATTTGCTTTCTCACTTTCCATCTTTCTCTCTAGTGAACACACATGCCCCATAGCAAATTAAATAATAATAATAAATAAAATTAAGTAAATAATTTTTTAAAGTACATGGAAACTGGGAAAATTGGTACAAGTTTATTTTATTTTATTTTTAGTGTTTCTAAATTTTTTAATTTTAAATTTATTTATTTACATTCATTCACTGTACATCATTACAGTATACAAAATGAAATTCTTTCTTCCAGAATATAATGTATATTGACTCAATCAAGGATATTACCATATGTGTTATCATCAACAAATGAATTTCCATTTCTTGTTTCTTATACATTTTTGCTTTTTTTCTCCCATTTGATTCTCTACTTCTCACCCTCTGCCATTTCCCATCTTTCTCCCACACTGTCTTTGCTATCTACAGCTACTTTTCAAGCCTTTTTATTTTTTCACAATTTATTGATCCACAAAAGAACTTAATTAATCTAAATACTTTCTATA